GGTAATTAACGATGGTAATTAACGATGGTAATTACGATTACGAATGCCAGGCGACGGGGAGCGGCATCGGCGTGTAGATACGAGGGTTTTTGCTGGCGCGCCGCGGGGCGGGGTAGCGACGTAGCCGGTCTGCGATGATTACATGCCCGGAGCTACGATTGCGCGCACTCATGTCGGCGGAGTTCTTGATATGCAGCGTTGATCGCGTGCTCGCCGATCGCCTGCGCTCTTGTTGTATTGCTGCCGAACTCTGACACAATATGGTGCTCGTTGTATATTCATGGCTGATGGCCGGCCTTCGTTCACGACGGTGGATGATTGTGATGGATGAGCTGTAGAACTGAGACAGATAGAGGTTGAGAGGATCTCTTTCACACTGGATTATCAGCAACAGCAACAACAACAGCAGCAGCAGCAGCAGCAGCAACAGCAGCAACAACAGCAGCAGCAGCAGCAGCAGCAACTGGAGCATCTGGAGCAACTGGAGCTGGAGCAGCTGCAACTGCAACTGCAACTGCAGCTGCTGGAGCAACTGCAACTGGAGCTGGAGCAGAAGCTGGAGCAGCAGCAACAACAACAGCAACGACGACGACGACAATAGCAGCAACAACAACAGCAATGAGATTATGACGACGACAACAACAGCAACAACAACAACAGCAGCAACAACTATAACAACAACGACAGCAACGACAGCGACAGCAACAACAACAGGGCCAGCAGATAACAGCAGCAGCAGCAGAAGGAACAACAGCAACAACTGCATCTACAGATACAACAGCTACATCAGCAGCAGCACGAACAGCAGCAGCAGCAGCAGCAGCAGCATCAGCAGCAGCTACACCAGCAGCAGTGACAGCTACAGCTACAGCAGCAGCAGCAGCAGCAGCAGCAGCAGTGACAGCTACATCAGCATCAGCAGCAGCAGCAGCAGCAGTGACAGCTACAACAGCAGCAGCAGCAGCGGCAGCACCAGCAACACCAACAGCTACACCAGCAGCAGCAGCAGCAGCAGCACCAGCAACAGCTACACCAGCAACAGTAGCAGCGAGAATAACAGGTGAGAATGACAATCTATAATATATATTCTATCAAGAGAGCTAATAAATACCTATAAAAAAATAGGTATAAAAAATAGGTACAAATCGGTATAAATAAATAGGTATGTATTAGCTCTTGATTCTATCGACAACACAACCGAGTGAGCTCGCAATAATGTTACGGTTTACGTCCCAGCTCTACGCTTGTCACAACTAGGACATGCTCGCACATGTACGCACGCACGCACGCAGGCAAATTTCCGATTTCGGAACTTATCATCAGCCAGTAGAGAATTCACCATCAGCTAGAGGGAAAGACTTGAGAGAAC